TGGGGGAAGAAAAGAGGAGTATAAAGGTAGGTACAACATGGAAAACCCCAAATGGTGTTGAGCCCTTCTTCAATGTTGAAGAGGGGCTCAAAATTAGCCTAATATCCAGTTTACAAACAGCTCGAAAATAAATTTGCTCATGGTCAAAAATAGCATGCAAAATTATGACATACAAGAGGATCAATGAAGCAAGTGTGTTCATGGAGGGCTCAAACAGGGTTGAGCCCTTAATAAAAAGTGAAGATGAGCTCAAAAGAGGGCCCTTTTCAGTTAGGGCGGAGCTTGAAACAAAAAAGCAAGTGAGGCTTACAAATAGATCAAGGAAAAAGGGTCAAAAGGGAAAAGCATTACTTACCTTGAAGACTCAAACTTTGTTGCTTCTTGGATGAATTTGCAGCTTCTTTGACCTTGAAAAACCTTCCTTGTTGGCTGAAATGAGGTGGTGGTTGGTAGAGCTTGGTTGGTGTAGAAGGAATGATGGTTAGGACTTTAGGGTTTTTCAAGGAATTGAGAAGGATGGGCAGATGGATAGTGTTATGGAGGCTTGAAGGAGAATTTTTCTTAACCCCTCTAATGCATGTTGGCAGCTGGTTATATGGACCAAAAGGAGGGGTTAAAGGTGGGGCATAAAGGAGAGCAAAATTCCCCCAAAAGGGTCCCCCCGGATGTTAGATATTTTTGGAGAAAACCAAGGCACAGCTGGATGCACTCAACCTGAAGAAGCAGGCCGGCCTATCACTTTTGTTGGAGGTGGCGGCCGGCCACACCCCTAGCCGGCGGCTAGGGGTCAAAAGGTTCAATGAGATTTTCTGGCCGGCCAGCTACTGGGGAGTACTCTTATGTGTGTACAACACAACCATGTGGTTGAAATTCCAAGAAGTGGGTCCAAGGGTTCAACATTGGCTCGGAAAGAGGGGGTCAAAAGGGTCAAAGTTGGAATTACTGGCCGGCCATGAACTTTTAGTGGCCTCTCATGTGTGTACATCACATATATGTGTTGAAAGTTGCAACCACTAACCCCAGGGTGTTCAACATTGGCCCGGAAGTCAGAAAAACGGGCGCCGGGAGGCTCCGGAGGAGAGATAACTGGTTGCTGCAACAATTACTAGCCTCCCACCCTTCAGTGACCTTCCTGGTGATAAAACAGAGGTACCTACCAAAAATGAACGAAAACCGATGCAAACGAATGTTCGGGGGTCAAAAACACGCAGTTCGGGGCCCCGGAAACTGCCCGTTAAACACCGAAAGTGGCGTTCGGCCACGAAGTGGGTTTCTCAGACCCCAAGTGTCCCTCAAAAGGGAGAAAATAAGGTGCATGCCAAAAATCAGAGCAAACGGAGATGGTTAGGCGGTCCGAACCGAGGCACACGGCCTGACGGCTCCGAAAACCGGGAAACGGGGCTCCGAAATGGGCAAATGGCCTACGGCCACAAATGTAGCCCACGGCCACTGAGAGATGGTCTACGGGACCTCTCCCTCCCTCAGAAAAGAACAGAGAAAACCGAGTCTGGTTCGCAAACCGAGGCAAGGCACCGAAGAAGGTCCGGAAGTCCGGAGGCGGGGCTCGCAGCCGCGACTCTGAAACTTACTTGAACGAGCACATTATGCAATATCACCAAGTGCTCAACTGGTGACGTCTGAGTCTCAAGGTCGGTGGTCAAAAATGGGGTGTCTACAGATTTGAACAAGAATACGAATGTTAATCTGCTTCTATTTTTGAAATAAAAATGAATCTGCTTTCTGAATCTGATATAAGACATCATTCATTTATATCGGCTAACACTGTGCTTCCCGAGGAAGTTCTCGAGAAGGTTGACGGTCGAGTTTGTGAATTATGTATAAGTCATCTACTTTCTTTATTTGGTTTAAACAAGTTTTTGTATGACTGTTTCTCAGGCTAAGTCTCAGTTTGACTATGTGTACATGTGATAGTGACACAAGACTTTGTTAATATGTTGTCACGTGTGTGTGTGTGATTAAAATTTTAAATTCCTGTCCCATGTATGTCTGCACAGCTCAATGGACTATGTGTGTTTCATATATCTGTTTCTGCAGCCCTTTATTATGTGTTAATCTATTCAGAGGCCTTTGGTAATCTCAGGATTACTGGCTAGTTACAACGCTAAACCTATAGAAGCAGGTTTGGGTCATGATAGAGTGGTATCAGAGCACGAGTTATACCGTACCCACGAGTCCATATGAGCTATAGGATGTCCTAAAAAAGAATTAGGGACATTTCATCAGCATGTGTGAGTGTGTGTTAATTTCTGTAAATGTGAAAACTGAATCTGAATATGAACATATGAAATTAAAAAGAATGAACCGAAACTAAATACTCTGAACACTGTGAACAAGATTATTCATATGTTTATTATTTCCTTGTTTACCTATAGTAACATGGAAAATACAAGAAGTAGTGATGCAATAGAATCTTCCGAAGCCCGAATGAACCGAATGAAACAAATGCTTACAACCTTAACAGAATCTTTGAGGCAACAACCTTTGCCTCATTCACCTCCTCCGGTCCAAGCAGAACCGGTAAACAATGATATCATCAGTTTGACTCAGAAATTCAATAAGATAAAGCCACCGATTTTCTTGGATGGAATTGAGCCGTTGAAAGCCGAGTCATGGCTACTTGAAATGGAAAAGTTATTCGAAGTGTTTCCCTACTCCAAGACTCAGAAGGTTCTTTTGGCCACCTATACCTTAAAAGATGAAGCCCGAAGATGGTGGTTGCTAATCCGAAATGACAATGGGAACGTTACATGGGTTCAATTCAAAGAGATCTTCTACGACAAGTACTTCCCTCAATGCTTTCAAGACCGAAAAGTTTCTAAATTTCAAGAACTCAAGCAAGGCAATATGTCAATAACAAAGTACGAGGCCAAGTTCACGAAGTTTGACCGATTTGCACCACACATGGTTAACACGGACTACAAGAAAGCCCAAAAATTTGAAGGAGATCTAAATCTGGGTGCCTTTGATTGGGTAGGGAGTTAAAACTGCCCAAATATGTAGATGTTCTTGACAAAGCCTTCGTGGCTGAAGGCAACCTAGCAGCTATAAAACAAACTAAGGCCCCAACAACAACAAAATTGAGAGATAAGAGGTCTGGGTACAGTTTCAGAAAGGGTCACTCTTTTGTAAACAAAAAGCAAAACACGGGGTCTGCAAGTAGCTCAAGTCAGAATAGTGAGTTTATTCCAGTTTGTCCTGATTATGGAAGGAAGCATAGGAGTGTGTGTTACCGTGCATCCGGTGCATGTTTCCGATGTGGCAAGACAAGCCATGTAGTAAAAGATTGTCCACTTTTGCCTGATAATGCCAACTGTTCTGCTACAAGTTCAGCCGAATTTGATTCTGTATCTAGAACAAATACGAGAGCTAACACTATGAGAGAAACTTTAAGACAAGGCTGAGTTTTCGCACTAGTGCCTGGTGATGTGCAGAATACCGAAGTTGTGGTGTCAAGTATAATTCTCATCTGTGCCCAAAATGCACATGTACTGATTGATTCTGGATCCACCCATTCTTTTGTATCACATGCTTTCTCACAAAACTTGACTAGACCATTAGAACTTATGAATTATTTACTATCTGTGTCTATACCACCTGGAGGTTCAATGGTATGCACGTATGTTTATCCAATATGTGATATTGTGATTGGTGATATTACATTGTATGCTGATTTGTTGCCATTGGGTATTGATCATTTTGACTATATACTTAGTATGGATTGGTTGACGAAGTATTGTGCAACTATTGATTGTGTGAATAAAACTGTCGTGTTTCGACCACTTAGTATACTTGAGTTTGTATTTGTTGGGAATGGGGTAATTTCTCCGCCGTACTTGATTTCTTTTGTGAAAGCCAGAAAATTGTTAAGAAAAGGGTGCCTGGGTTACTTGTGTTGCGTTTTGAATGTAACTTCTAATAGCCCCAACGTAGAGAACATCCCTATAGTGAATAAATTTCCCGATGTGTTTCCAAATGATTTGCTCGGAGACTTAATTGATAGGGAAATTGAGTTTACTATTAATGTTGTACCTGGAACACAACTGATTTCTAAAGCCCCATACCGAATATCAACCTCTGAATTGAAAGAAGTGAAGGTCCAACTTCAAGAACTACTAGACAAGAAGTTTATCTGACCGAGTACATCACCTTGGGGTGCTCCAGTTCTGTTTGTTAAAAAGAAAGATGGGTCTTTAAGACTATATATTGATTATCGGGAATTGAACAAAGTAGCTATCAAGAATAAATATCCACTACCCCGAATAGATGATTTGTTTGACTAACTCCAAGGAGCCCAGGTGTTTTCCAAAATTGATCTTCGATCCGGATACCACCAATTGAAAGTTAAGGCAGAAGACATAGAGAAAACCGTTTTCTGGACTAGATATAGGCGCTATGAGTTTTTGGTAATGCCGTTTAGGGTAACTAATGCACCTGCAGCATTCATGGACTTAATGAATAGGGTGTTAAAACAATTTCTTGATGAATTTATAGTTGTGTTTATTGATGATATTTTGATCTATTCCAAAGGCAGAGAAAAATATGAATATCATCTGAGGATTGCCTTACAGACCTTGAGAGAAAATAAATTATATGCAAAACTGTCCAAATGCGAGTTTTGGCATGATTGTGCAACATTTCCGGGGCATGTAATCAATAAAGAGGGCATCTCTGTTGACCTACAGAAAATTGAAGCTATTGTGGATTGGCCAAGACCAACTAACGTATCCGAAGTCAGAAGCTTTTTAGGGCTTGCATGTTACTACCGCAGATTTGTGAAGGACTTCTCCAAACTTGTTATGCCTTTGACATAGCTAACACAGAAAAATATGCCATTTGATTGGAATGACCAAAGAGAATCTGTTTTCCAAGAGTTAAAGACTAGATTAATGATTGCGCCAATTTTGACTTTACCTAATAGTACAGATGAGTTTCAGATTTACAGTGATGCTTCAAACAAAGGCTTGTAGTGTGTGTTAATGCAGAATGGGAAGGTAATTGCATATGCTTCACGATAACTTCGGCCACATGAGAAGAATTATCCTACTCATGACCTTGAACTCGTAGCTGTGGTTTTTGTTTTAAAAATCTGGCGCCATTATTTACATAGAGTGACTTGTGAAGTATATACTAACCATAAAAGCTTGAAATATTTCTTTACTCAGAAGGGATTGAATATGAGACAAAGACGATGGCTCGAATTGATCAAAGATTATGACTTGCAAATTATGTACCATCTGGGGAAAGCAAATACAGTGGCAGATGCTTTGAGTTGAAAATCTATTGGGAATTTGTCATGTTTGCTCACCAATCGAAAGGAATTGTTATGTGACTTGGAGAGAAATGAGATTGAAATTGTGTTACGTGAAAAGGGTGGACTCATAGTTGCCATATCTGCCCAGCCTGCAATTATTGAAGAGATCAGAGAGAAACAACTTGAAGATGAATTCCTGAAGACAATTGTGAATGAAATTAGCACAAAACCGAGGCCGGGATTTGTATTTGAGAACAGTGTGCTGAAATTTCAAGATAGACTTTGTGTACCGAATTGTTCTGACCTAAGACCACGTGTTATGACTGAGGCTCACAATTCGAAATTTGCTGTGCATCTGGGTAATATGAAAATGTACAAAGATCTGAAACAAAATTTCTGATGACCTGGAATGAAGAAGAGTATTGCTGACTTCGTAGCTAAATGTTTGCATTGCCAACTAATGAAAGCCGAACATCAACGACCCGCTAGTCTACTTTAACCACTCCTAATACCGGAATGGAAATGAGAGCATATTACGATGGATTTTGTTGTTGGACTGTCTCGCTCCTCTCGAGGTATGGATTCTAAATAGGTCATTGTGAATCGTTTAACTAAATTTGCCCACTTTTTGCCTGTCAAATCTTTGTATAATGCGGATAAGTTGGCTAATTTATATGTAAATGAGATTGTGAAATTACATGGAGTTCCAGTTTCCATAGTATTTGACAGAGATCCTAAGTTCACTTCAAGATTCTAGCAGAGTTTGCAATAGGCTTTAGGGACTGAATAGAAACTAAACAGTGCTTATCACCCACAAACAGACGGCCAATCTGAATGGACTATTCAAACATTGTAAGACATGTTACGGATGTGTGTGTTAGACTTCTAAGGAAATTAGGAGACTCATCTACCTTTGGCTAAATTTGTGTACAATAACAACTACTATTCAAACATCGGTATGGCTCCTTATGAAGCTCTGTATGGTAGGAAGTGTCATTCTCCGATTTGTTGGGTTGAAGTAGACGATAGACCGTTATTGGGGCTAGAACCAGTCCGAGAGACAACTGAGAAAGTGAAACTAATACAGCAACGTTTGAAAACTGCATAGAGTCAGTAAAAGAGTTATGCAGATGTCCGAAAGTGAGACAAAGAATATAAAGTCAGAGACCATGTGTTTATAAAAGTGACTCCAATGAAAGGTCAGACACGATTTGGAGTGAAAGACAAGTTCGCACCAAGATATATTAGGCAATATGAAATTCTTGAGAAAATCAATCCGATGATGTATCGAGTAGCCTTACCACCAGTCTTGGAGCAAATGCACAATGTGTTTCATATTTCTATGCTTCTGGAATATTTACCGGATCCCCATCATGTTATTGAACCAACTCATGTGCTTCTGAAGGATGACCATACATATGAAGAACGACCAATTCAGATTGTCAATCAAATGATCAAAATGCTACGAAACAAAGAAGTTCCACTAGTGAAAGTTGACTGGAAAAACCACGGAGGAATATATGCAACTTGGGAAATTGAGAAAGATATGATGAAAAGATACCCTAATTCGTTCCCTCTAGATCCAGCATTCTTCCAGACTAAAGGTAATTTGAGTTTGGAGGATCAAACTCTTTAAAGGGGAAATACTGTAACAACCCCAGCCTATGATTAGCCTATAATCCATGATTAAGCATGCCTAATGCGCAATTATGATGAAATCTTGAGTTAATTGCATGTGTTATATAATATTTGAGTTTCTATCTGTCTGTCGTAGAAATATCTGTCTATGTTTCTATTCTGTTCTGCGAATTAAAGGCCTTATCGGTATCTGATCACGAAATTGACTTGGTTTATGTGTTATTTGGAATTTTTAAGAATTTATGGTAGGTTCAATTGAAATTCGATTTAGAACGAAGTAATAAGAATAAAATAATGTCACTTAATTAGTCTTAAACTAATTTTAATTAAGCTTCCTTAATAAGCCTATATAAGGCCTAATTAACTCAAAAAGCTTTTCACATACACTCAATTTCATCCATTTTGAGCATAAAACATAAGAGAGAGGGTGAAACCAAGAAAATCACATCTAAGTTTGAGGATTGGAGAGACTTTGAGGAGAAATTCAAGAATGGACTTGTGAGCTCAAAACATCTACGTATAAGCCATAATTGAGCACCTAAGGTAAGAAATCAAGCTTTTAGTTGTGCGATTGGGGTACGTAACACAAGTATTCAAAAGAATTAAGTGAATTGAGGCAAGAATTAAGCTTAATGAAGTAGAAGAGAAGAGTATACATACATGCATGTGCATTACATTGCATTTAGAGCATGTTGTTTACGAATTTGTCTCATGCATGTTCATATTTTTGTTTTAGTTTAAGAATTCACCCTGTTTTTTAGTAGAACATCTCAGTTGATCATGATTTGGAGACTTGGAATCTTGTTCATATCATGCATGTCATGTTCATGTTGTGTTTTTAACATTCCAATATTGATTTTGTACAATTGACAAAGCTTTTGGGCTTAATTTTGTGAAATGGCTTTTGACTCATAATATATTATGAATTTATAGGTTTTTTCGTAAGTTTTGGCTTAGAAGAACATGTTTTGTTGCCTTAAAAATGAGTTTTGAAGCTGGGGAGTGTAATATGAAAATTTCAGAATTCTGCATCACCACTCGAGTGACAGAAGTTGCGCTTGAGCGACCACCTATTGTTTTGTACCTCTGCTCGAGCGAAGAAGTCTAAGCTCAAGTGTAAAATTCATGCTCCCAAAGTTTTATAGAACTTTACAGACTGCTCGAGCGATTGAAGTTGCGCTCGAGTGAGGACCCTGTTTACTCAGTCTTTGGCTTGAGCGGCCATCGGCGTTCGTCGAGAGGAAAAATCATGCAACCAGTACTTTTGCAGACTTTGCAGATTTAAACCCCTTTACTCTGTTATTATTTACTGGGCTCCCGCTTACTCTATTATCTATTGTGTGGGGAGCAAATATTCAGGCAAGCCCGCACTCCTTTCTTCCAAGCTCCGCTTCTATCCGGTCACTTGTGAGCAAATAACGGTGAGCTACCCAGCGGTGTGTGGCCGAAAAAACCCTCCGACGATCAAGTTAGCGCACACCTCAGGATAGAGAGAGAGAGAGGAGTGTTTGAGTGTAAGAATTTCCTTACAAAATGTTCCTGTATCGCGTATGGGGGGCGCAGACATGCTTATATACTCTTCTGCGCCCCAAATCTACTCTCATTGGTCTCTCGACACGTGGCTCTGTTATCCTATCTGTCAGCACAAATCTTGCTATACATCACCTAACCCAACTGCCAGCCCACTCTTGCTGGAGCACGGCAGCCGGGCAACATTATCTCGGCTATCAACGGCCATACTGAACATGCCCAAGTGTAGTTGATGTTGTAGTTTCCTACTACCGAGCTTAATTCCAGCCGTGCTCAACTATATTCCGGCGATGCAGAGTTGGAGATTGGTAACGCCGGTCAGCCAAAGACCTTCTCGACCAAGCTCCAAGCACAGGTCTTCCTACCGGGTTAAGGTGCTTGCATTACAACCTTGCAACGCGTGAGCCGGGGAGCCTCATCTAGACTGTTCCTCCACCTGTCCGGCCTTCGCGGAACCGAGATCGGATAACTCGGTTCCACATGGGCTTTGCCATTACCGAGCAATATCACGGTCTGATCTTGGAGCCCAATACATCGGCCCAAATCTGTCCGGCTAACGTCACGGCCCAATCTCAGATCATAAATCTCCCTCTCAATTGCCCCTTAATTCCATCCGCAAAAGCGTGACTGGGATTACTTATTTCGACCGGGATAACACTTCCTCGGTCCTCAGAATGCGAAATGGCGACCGGGCTAGTTGACATTCCTGTCTGCAAACTTGTCCGATTATACTCCTCGGTTGACGTCCTCTTCTTCAAAAGTAGCCCGGTTGACTCAACTCTTCAACCTGTCTCTTCAGTTCTGACGTCGTCATAAAATGGGGACACGTGGCGGGCCGCCATTGGTTCTCGAGCAGCCAACCCGCCGTCTTGCCAGAATTTGAATTTGGGCAGTCTCGTCTCCTCTATAAACATTCCCCCCTTCATCTTCCTTGAGCTCTTACTGACTCACTGTCATTCCAAGCAACCCAGAGCTCTTGCCTCTCCTCTGCCGTTCCTGAACTCGCGCTCGAAGAAGAAGCAACCACTGCTCCATATTGGTAAGCCCTCCAACCCTTGTTATTGTTATTTTCCTAGATATTTCACACAATAGGGCAATAAAACGTAGTTCTTAGGACATAGGCCATAGAAATCGTCCCAAACCTCCCACTGTTCATGGTGTTCTTCATTTTCGCTGATGAACTTTGAAGAACTGGGGCGGACTGGGCTCCAGGTCTTCGTTTGATCCAAAAAATCATCCCGACCGAGCAAATAACCTGTTAGACTTAACCGTAGCAAGAACCGGGATAACAAAGGTCTTGGCTGCTCAACCGGGCTAAAATCTGGTCTGCTTGGACGGCCGAGCTCCTTGGTTAGCCTCTACGACCGAGGTGGTTTGGCACTCTAGACGACCGAGCTAAAGTCAAGCTCGCTTTGCGCTACCGCGCTCCCTCTTACACTTGCCCTCCTTTTCCTGCAGAGTCCAAGGGGACCACTGACCATTCCTGAGGCACCCAAAGACCGAGCAGCCACAAATCACCTGACAGTGCCAAACCACAGCCGAGCCAATTCAGCCGGTCGTAAATGGGAAAATTCCGCTTCCTCGTAGATACTCCGGCTACCTTGGCCGTGTTCAGGGAGGAGTACGGCATCCCGGCCGATGTCCACCTTGAGCTTGCAGAAGAGCAAACAATGCCTTGGGGCAAATCAGAACAATGCCCCTTCACCGTGCTATCTATCATCGAAGAAGGCCTCCGCTTCCCACTCAACCCACTTATCACTGAGTTCCTCCGCCGCACCGAGCTGGCACCCACACAAGTGTCCACCAACACTTACCGAATTATCAACGGCGTCCATAAACTGAACAACCGGCTAGGCACCAACTTAGGTTTAGCCGAGATATTAAGGCAATATACGATGGGTCACACCGGTGACGACCTAGCCTATTATTTGAAAATCAGACCGGGCAAGGAGAAATTGTAACCGATACCCCGGATAAAGACTTGCATGACGACGATTTTTCTGGGTGTCGGGCAATTACCAAACATCCGACGTACCGGGCTGGTTTATAAGCAAGAACTTCGGTTCCACATGTAAGCCGCTCAAACTTGCTCGGTTAGCCTACCTTCTTTATTCTGTAATTAACCAGTTTTCTTGTTTCTTTTGCAGCAATCCAAGCCTTGCAAGCCAATTACCAATTTCCCAACGTAGAGGTAATTCGGACCGTGCTCCGCTGTCGCCACCGAGATTGCAACGAGCTGCTCGGTTACACTCCAACCTACAGATACTCAGCTCCACGCTGGAGTAAAGTTACAGACTTTCTCCGCGCTCCAACTCCTCCTCCAGACCCAAATCTGCCAAACGTTTCGCTAATCTGGCTGACCGAGGAACAAGAGATGGCTAAAAGAAGCCGCATTAAGAATCTCCTCACAGCCACATCCGCCGAAATACCAAGCATTTCTCCCTCGTCTCATGCTGCTGGTCAATCCAGCAACCGTGGTTGCCCTGGCATCTCCAGCTGCCGGGCAATCCAGCCAACCCCGCCGGGCAGGCAAAAGACCTCGCACAGATCCAACTGCCGAGCTGGTTGCCGAGCTAACAACCGAGCAGCCCACCAACACTGCTGATCCCATTCCACCATGGCGGCCGCAGCTCAAGCACCGGGGCCAAGATATCCCGGCAAATGCTTCTGTCAAGGGGATAAGAAGCACTTGTTGGCCTTTGACCTCTCGAAAGCTCTCTTGCTGCCAAGTGACGTGGTTGGCAGCGATCATGTCCCTGACACCCGGTTGGTGAAATCAGCAGTGAAATCCATGACCAGGGTAAGGATCCAACTTCCACTGAAATTTTACAAGTGTTTGCCCGGTTCCTTCACTAATCAAATTCGTTTCTCGCAGGCTATCCAAAAGCAGCACCTGGTAATGGAACGCATCCACAGACTTCGGCAAAAGGCAAATGACACAGCCAGCCAAGTCCAGAGCCTCCAAGCCGAGCTTCGCTGGGCAAAAGTATCTCTCCAAATCGCCAATGCTGACAACAACAGGTTGCACGGTCAGCTTGACGAGGCCGAGAAGAAGCGCGATGAGCTCCAGGCCGAGCTGGACGCTATGAAAAAGTCAAGGAAGAAGGACTGCCGAGATGCAAACAACGCCGGCTTCCTAGAAGCCGAGGAAAGCTACAAGAAGCAGGTTTTCGTTACCCAAGACGTCTACTTCAAAGCGGGTTGGAAGTCTGCCTGCGAGCATCTCGGTCAGGGTCCTGATACTGACATCTTTGCCACCCCGCCGCCTGTTTCCCTGCCGCCTACCTCGTGCCATATGCCAATGACGTCTTCAGTGCATTGCAGGAGGAAGAGGAAGAAGAAGAAGAAGAAGAAGAAGGAGAAGCAGAACTGGAAGGGACCATAAAAATGGAACTGGAGGCGGAGGCGGAGGCGGGGCTGCGATGCGACGAGCGACGATCTGTGACGATCGGCCGACGAGCTGCAACGATAACGACGAGCTGCGATGACGACGACGACTCTCTCTCGCCTCTGTTTCTCTCTCGCTTGTGTTCAAACGAAGAAGAAGAAGAAAAGAAAGAAAAAAAGAAAAGGAAGAAAAAGGGAAAAAAAAAAATTCGAAACGCAAAACGACGTCGTTTTGCGTTTCGAGCCAAATTCGAGCCCTTGATTTCGGACCCCCAAACATTTTTCTAAAAATCTGGACTAATTGTAAAAAGGAAAACTCTAGAGACCTAGACTTGCCCACTTAGAATTTTCTAGATAGGTGTTTGTATGGTGGTGATTAAATTTGTGTAGTGTGAGATTCATGTGTAAAATAAATTTGAACCATACGAAAAAAATTTAAAGATGAATTGGTAGTATTATTCTTGTAAAAATATTGGCTGTTGAGGAATAATTTGATAAAATTCTTGGTGAGCATCTAAGATAGTGTTTGGTAGAGTTTTCTAAATATGATTTAAGAATAGAAGTTGCATTTTGAGTTTATGAGTTTTTGAATTATGATTTGAGTGTGAAAAATTTGTTTAGTGAAAAAATTTTGAAAAGAGTTTTGAATTGAGTGAAAATTTTTTAATGTGACATATGACATTTGATATTTAAAAATCATAAACAAACGTCAAACGTAAATAAAAAGGCAGAAATATATTTAGAAAATACAACCAAACAAAGCCAAATTTTTTATCTTTCAAACTTTTTATGTCATGTTTCTACCATGCTTCATGTTCGGTTTGAAAACTTGATTATTTAAGTTAATTTTTTAATTATTTAACTATTTTACTTAGCTAAAAAAGTTATATTTAAAATGATGATTTTTTTTATAATTGATTTAATAGTTGTGAGAGAAAAAATAAAATAATTATGATTTAAATATAATAATTTATCTTATTAATTATTTTAATCTATTTTATCTTTATTAATTATTTTAATAAAAAAAAAATTCAAAAAAGCCATATCCCAAACAGGCCTCACTTACTTTCTAACAATTTTAGTACATCTACAATGTGTAAGGAAGTTGACTGGTGGGCCCAAAGCAAAAGCAAAACTAAGGTTAGAGGAAAGTGAAAAAAAATGTCAAAAGTTTTATTAAATCAGATCATGTGGATTTTAGGTGCATCCTGTACCTCTGTGAAATATTTTAAAAAAAAAAAAAAAATTGATAAAATTTTTAAGGTGTCTAATATTACTCAAAAGTGAATAATCAAGCAATTTCATCCATTTGATTATGCCATATTCTTTCATCATCATAAAAACAATTTATAAAAAAAAAATAGGTTTTAAAAAACAATCCTAGGAAACCAACCTGTGAGGTTTAAAGTTGGATGATGCTAATATGAAACACAAGTAATATGACACAAGACAAGCATGGCCCCTAATTGAGTAGAATCTAAGGCAACTAAAGATAGAAAATTATTCCAAAAACATCCTTAATCTCGCTAATGAGGGTTATGCTATATATATATATATATATATATGTTGTATGTATATATTTTTAGGTACAAGCATGGGACCCTTTAATAGCCTATCTGCACATGACGATGAACAATTGATGAATGGTTCAGATTGCTACTTGTGATTTTATCCATATATATCATTTTTATTATGTAATAATTGTGTAACAAACATGAAAACATATGGTATATGCATTAGTGGGAAAGAGATGAAAAGGTCAACTTGCACCTTGCATGGGAACCATTGAAACTCAGGGGTTCACATACGGCATAGTTTGGGAAGTTGGTTTTGGTGGGTTAGGAGCTAAAATAGTCACAAAAAATAAAATAGGTTATTTTAGCCACAAAAAATAAAACATCAAATCCAACTCATAATCATTACACTCCTCTCTCACAAAAAAAATAAAAAAAGCCAAAAAGCCTTTTCCAAACCAGTCTTTTTAGGTCCAGGCTAAAATAGCCAAAAAGTCAAAAAGCTAAAAAGCCAACCCACTTCCCAAACGGAGGCATTCTCACTTTAACAAGTGGATCACAATGGGATATTATTTAATGTTGAAATTTATGTAAAAATTATTATAAAAATAATGAAAATGTTAGGAAAAAAAAGTTTTAAATTTAGTAAAAGCATTTTGAAATTAATGAAAATGTCTTATAATTTTATTTATTTATTTTTTATGTCCTAAAAAAATTTGTTAGCAAAATCATAATAATTTCACTGTTTGATCAAAAAAATAAGAAAAAAGACACATATGTCATCTCATCAAAACCAATATTGAATTTTTTCTTCATTTGAACAAAAATGACATTCGTGGTGAGATAGATGGGAAGGGAGTGGACGTTTTGAGGGTGGTTCGCAGCGGTGGAAAAAGAGTTGAAATGAGAAAGAATGGTAGAGGGGTGGCTGGTTGTAGATGGGGTGATGATGAACGATGGGAAAAGTAGGAAAGAGGCTTTCATACTGGGAAGGTGGAGAAGAGGTTGGCCGATAATGGATCAATTAGGATTTGCAACAAAAAAAGATAAAGAGTAGATGAGAGAGGTAAATGAGTGTATTTTGGTAATTTTAGATTTTAATCACCGTTTTATAATTAATTAATTTATAACTTTTCATATCTAATATATAATTAGTTGTTATTTTTCCACTCTTTTGTAATTAATTTTGGTCTTCTTATTTATTTTTTACTTCCAACTAACGTAGTGACAAACTTTATTGATAAAACAATATCCACCTCATTTTAATTAAATAGTCAACCCACAAAAGATGACTTATTCAGGTTGTTTTAGAAAGTTGGTTAAAAATTAATTTTTTTAGTCTTTTTTTAAAAATTTTTATGAAAAAATGTAAAAAAAATAAAAAAATGATATGATTCAAAAAAACTAAACAGCTAAAAAATTGACTTATAACCAATTTACCAAAACAGATCTCAATATGGTCCAGAATGCAAAATTTACTAAGAGAGCCGCATAAAAAATATAACATGATCATTCCGATACAGCCTAATAAATTTCCATGCATTCTACATGAATTTTTTAATGAATTATTTTCACGCACATTAATGTTAAAAAAAATTAAAAAATATTCAACTCGTTTAGTTTGGTTTTTAAAAATTATAGGGTTTTTAGTTTTTGTTTTCACTGAACTTTTGTATATTTTTCATAAATATTTTACTTTTCAAGTGTATTTAACTAACGGAGTGACAAACTTTATTGATAAAACAATATCCACCTCATTTTAATTAAATAGTCAACCCACAAAAAATGACTTATTCAGGTTGTTTTAGAAAGTTGATTAAAAATTAATTTTTTTAGTCTATTTTTTTAATTTTTATGAAAAAATGTAAAAAAAAATAAAAAAATGATATGATTCAAAAAAACTAGACAGCTAAAAAATTGACTTATAACCAATTTACCAAAACAGATCTCAATATGGTCCAGAATGCAAAATTTACTAAGAGAGCCGCATAAAAAATATAACATGATCATTCCGATACAGCCTAATAAATTTCCATGCATTCTACATGAATTTTTTAATGAATTATTTTCACGCACATTAATGTTAAAAAAAATTAAAAAATATTCAACTCGTTTAGTTTGGTTTTTAAAAATTATAGGGTTTTTAGTTTTTGTTTTCACTGAACTTTTGTATATTTTTCATAAATATTTTACTTTTCAAGTGTATTTAAAATAATTTATTTTTTTTAAAAATTATTTACACGAAGGCCCTTAAACTATTGAGAAGTGTTACTTTGGTTTCTTAATCT